GATACTGTATATGATATGATAAGTTAGCCTGTGCTAAGAACTTCAACATAGACTACTGAAAACACGTTGTAAGGTAATTTAGCCTATTGTAAGTTGGTGAGCTTCATTTGCTGAAGGAACTGCACAACTTTTCATTACTAATTGGTACAAATTTTACGTTTCCATTGTTTACTGGCAGTAAATGGTAAATATTTTTCATGTCTGAAGCTAAAAGTTGCATCTCACCCCCACACTAGTGGTGATGTTACATTTGACCAAAAAGACGCTGGTGTTTTATCCCAGCAGTGGGTGGACCAGCATTTTAGCTTAAGGTCCGCGTAGGTAATATTCCTACAAATCTTTAAAAAAAAAAAAAAAAAAAGTTTGTTCAGATTTTGTCCGAATTATCCGAAATCCGGATTAAAGGGGTCCGAATTAACGAGGGTCGACTGTATGTATATTGTATAAGGTGCATTCAGAAACATTATTTAAAGAATATAGTTTGCAATGTTCACAAATTGTATTGTTTTGGGGGGAAAAGAGGGTAAAAAGCCACACAAAAGACATGAAAAGGTCACAATTGGGAATGCATCTCATTATTATTGCTTTATTTTGATGGTAATTAATGATTCGCTATAAGACAATTCACCTTACTGCAATATTGGAGGACACATTAACGTCGTTATTTGAGGCTTTACTGTACTGTATGTGTAATTTAGAATAATGTCTGGGATTTTGTGGTATATTGGTAGTATGGGTATTACTTGAGGTCTTATTACCTCTCATATAGCTATAAATTTTTTAGTTTTAAATTTATTTTCTCCTCTGTTAGAGTTGTGTCAGCAAGTTATGGTCTTTTACGGAGAAAGTTGGTGAGAAGTGTGGTGGGGAGGAGTGTAGCCTGGCAGCAGGAGAGGTCTTACCGCCCACCTCCATCGGTACTAGATAAGTTTAAGGTATATATACTGTACAAATAATGCTCACCCATTTGCAAGATTTTATGAAGGTTTTGTTTATAATTCATGTGAATGTGTGTGTTAGAATGTATTAAATTTATAAACTTTTCTATTTTGTATTAAAAATTTATGCCCTGTATACTGTAGTTGAAACTAAATCTGATTATTACAATTTCATGACATCTTTAAATGGTCTTTAGATACATGGTACAGTACGGGTATTAGTATTGCACAGTATAGTATAGTATATTTAAAGTTAATTTTGTTTCCATTTTAGTAATGCTTGTGGTTTATGTGAACCCCATTTATTGAAAAGAAATTTGTGAGTAAAGTGCTGCTAGGAAATTTTGGTTTAAAACTTTTCAATGGCTTTAACCTTATCAGTGTAATTTGTAATATATTATGAGTAAATTTAGTCAAATACACTATAACAGTACAGTATTCAGATTACGCGAATCATAACCAGGGATGGAGTGAATACAGGAGTTCAGTATTCAAATACAAATACAGTACTGTAGTAGTACAGTACTGTACAGTACTTCAATTTCTTATGAATGTGAATACAGTACACTACAATTTTTTTTCTCCGAATAAGAATGTAAATACAGCTCCTCCCCGACTTACGACGGGGTTAGGGACCCAAATCCAGGTCGTAAGTCGAAATGGTCGTAAGTCGAAAATGCTTAAATAATACATAGAAAATCTAAAATGGGAGTCTCTTTTTCTTCTCAGCTCCACAAAACTCTCACTTTTAAGCTTGCCAGCCATTTTAAAGTGAATTACAAACGAAAATTTTTGTCTGTGTACTGAAGTTGGGACTTGAAAATACGTAATTTGACAAAATTTTGGTACGACTGAGGCAGGTCGTAAGTCGAGTAGATCGTAAGTCAGGGAGGAGCTGTAATATAGCACGGACTTGAGTGTAGACTGTCATATTTTTAATAGATTTGTTTCTGATTATTTGTGAGAGTACAGGGGTCCCCCAAATTCGCGGGAGTAAGGTTCTCAAAATGGCCGAATCGCCAAATCCGCGAATAACATTTGTGGACTGGGGGAGGGGGGGGGTACATTTTTACTTGAGTACAAAGAAATGTATACTGTATTCCCTTTATGTGTTTGCTCTTAGGACAATTATTTCTTTTACCTGTAGTACATTATTGTATATAAGTGTGTGTGTGTGTAGACACATGGACTTGGGGGTAGACTCGCATTTTTAATAAATTTGTTTCTGATTATTTGTGAGAGTATTTTCCCATTACCTGTATTATTTATTTGTATGTGTTTTGTGTGTGCAGGTAAAAGAAATAATTGTCCTAAGAGCAAACACATAAAGGGAATACGGTATACATTTCTTTGTATTCAAGTAAAAATGTACTCCCCCCACACCATATCAGCATATGTTGTTTGCTGACTTGGCGATTTGTGGCCATTTTCAGAACCTAACCCCCACGAATTTGGGGGGCCCTTGTACTTTAGTTGTTTATAGCAATGTATTCAAATACAAATATGAGTAATTTAATTTTCTGTACAATATTTGAATGCATATAAATATGAATACCCGGTACTGTACACTATCCCTGTTCATATCTGTACAGTATTTGACCAGATAAAGGATGGAAGATTTTGAACTGCTTGGAACTTGAACTATAACTTTGGCTTTGCTTGGTTTGGTGCACCTGCCATTAACACCGCAGCTCACCACTGACTGCCTGCACCCATTACAGAAATATCTTGGTACATGTAGGATTGGGCACACTACAAATACTGTATGTACAGTACTTTAAACTTTGATTAAAGCCATTTAACATAATGGAAACTGTAACCTCATCTTTCTGTCTCTTCTTCCTCTCCTATTTTAATTACAGTGGTAAGCATGGCTGAATGACAATAATTGAAGAGAATATGTGTACTGTATTTGCTATAAGCTCCAGCCATTGTAAAATATACTGTACATACATACTGTAGTTGAAAAAGGCTTGCAATAAAAAGTCCTGTACAGGCAGACTCTAATGTATAAGGCAAGGGCGGGTTCTGGGGGTCCTCCCCTCTTTTCACCAGAAAATTCCAATACGGTACTTTTTCTTAATGCAGTATTGTACTCAGGCATGTTTGTACAGGGCATACTGTAGTAAAAAGTGTTTACTATTGACTTCAGAATATCTCCTAATATCAAGTGCGCATGGCTTCAAAATGCCTATGATGTTGATCAGATTTATGACATATTTACCCCCCCAAACCCCCCAGCTGGGTGGGCTTGCTGCGCTCGCCATGTTCCCCCACCCACAATTTCTTGGAACCCCCTTTTTTTATATTCCTGGATCTGTCCCTGTAAGGATTTGATTTACAAATTTAAGTAATTATGAAAAAGATTATTCTGTAACAATATTTTAGGTACAGGTACACTCGCACCAAAAAGTATCGGTGCAGGGTGAGATCGACGACTTCCGAAACGATACGTATACACTGTGATATGTCGGGAAGGTTGGTAAGTGTATCCTCATAACCCCTCCCTCCACTAGGTGTTGCCATATGGCTGACAATCAGTGTGTTTGTTTCCTCTTTTCGGATTGTTGCTTTGTGTCGACTGAATGATGAGCGAGGGTTCGGTCTCGGTGAACGTGGGTATAAAACAGAGGCAATATGAAGCAGTAGAGATCTATACATGCCAGACGACATGGAAACCTCAGAGGGAACACGAGGAGCTATTATTGCCCTTCATAACGAAGGGTTTGGCGTCACAGATATTAGCTGGCGGGTTGGTGTCCACAGGAACACCGCTGCATGATGGATTCATTCAATGGATTCATTCGGCGATACCTCGAAACTGGTGCTACAGATGACAGGTCTCGGAGCGGCCGTCCACGCTGCACCACCCCTCAGGACGACCAGGTTGAGTGGTTTATTTGGTAGCATAAATTAATGTGGCAATATTCACAAGTATCACAAATAATTTTGTTAACAGGGAGCTCCTCATATTTCATACTGTCTATTTATCACTTCCCGACCTTATTTATAACGGTTTGTTTCACTTGACCAAGGCTGCCAACATACGGCTGGAACAACTCGCCTTTCCCAATACCTATCGTCACTGGTCTCAAATTGTTCACACTACAGTATGCACCGATACTTTTTGTTGCGAGTGTACAATGCTTAGGTTTGTGTTTTCTACAAAGGCTTAATGCCTCTGTATTATATAAACTTACTGTATTAATGATAAGTTTCATATGTATATTTTTCCAGGGGCATGTTGTAGATTTGCGTTCTGACACCTTAACTAAACCCAGTCCCGGCATGAAGAAGGCCATGATGGATGCACTACTTGGGGATGATGTCTATCGTGAAGATCCAACAGTGTCAGGTATAAACATTACTCTCTTTATATGTCTTTATATGAAGCAGGGTGGCTGGACGTATGTTGATCCTCTGATTCTTACCATTCAGCAGCTAATGAATTTTTCCATTCCTTAAGTATGATGCTAAATGCTTGAATAGAATGAGTTAACCCATTAAATATTGGTACAGTGACTTATCCTTTTATTTTAGATGACATTGTGGTCATGGGGTTAAAGTTGTACAGTCAACACTCACTTTACACGGTTAATATAACCCACAGGGTACCGCGGAAAGTGAGAAACGCGTAAAGTGAACAACATAACATATGGGATTAATTGAAATAGAGACCGGGCCGACCCCCAAACTCCACTTTTTGACCACACACAACTATGTTGTAGTAAAAATTTTATCTTAACTTTATGATGGTATGCACAAACAATTAATATAGAAGAGGTTAGGTTAGGAAAAATAAAGGTTAAGTTAGGAAAAATAAAGGTTAGGTTAGGAAAACTAAAAGTTAGGTTGAACACTTACGTTAGTAGAAGAGATGGATCGGCATACGGGGATGGAGGCTGGTTCCGAGGCAGAGGGCAGGCTACTGGCTCTCAGGTGAGTCACCATCACTGTCATCCACACTTGTCAGGGCCTCCCTGACAAATCCCTCAAAGTCATCTTCACTGTCTCTACCTCTGTCAATATCACTGGCTTGGGCTGGCTGTGGTGGGTTGCGGGCGAAGAACTCTGTTATGCTTTGCTGACGGCTGGTGTTTATGTTGTCGTGATAAACCTTGAAGTAGGGCTCCATAGTCTGCAACAGCTGGGTAGTGAAGATTTCATACCTGTTTGCGTCAGGGTCGTCGGAAAGGAGGAGCTTGATTTTCTCAACACACTCGATGGCACCCCTAACATTACTATGGGATAAGCGGTGTTCTTCTTGGGATGACGCACCACCTGCCTCTTCACTGACGTCATCATCATCTACCATCTCGTCGGTAGTCACATCAGGATCCCTTATCACCTCCAGGATGTCGTCGTTGGTGGTCTTGGAGAAGCCTGCAGCTGTAACACTGCGCAGCTTCTCTGGCAAGGTCCACTGCTACTGCAACAGTCTGAACCTCACCAGTCACAGATTGACTCTGCCTTACGCCCGGAATGCCTTGCAACACATGTCTCCATGCGTGACGAACAGTTGCTACAGACAGCTGATCCCATGCCTCCACCAAGAAGTCCACAGCTTTCTTGATGTTGAATATTCTCCAGATTTGTTTGAAAAGTATTTTTTGCTCTGCCAACTGTTGATCCTCGTCGTCTTCGCTCTTGCTATCGGTGGTGGTGTCACTCAGGTTACGCAACTCTTCCCTGGTGTTGGTGTAGTCATTCAGGAGCTTGAATTTTTTTGTTGAGAATGCAGCTTTTACATTACAGATTAACTCTTGGTCCATGGGCTGTAATATAGACGTAGTGTAGGGAGGAAGGAAGACCACTTTTACGTTGGGGTGACGATCTAACAGTAGGGGCGAGTGTCCTGGTGAGTTGTCCAGCAGCAACAAAATCTTGAATGGCACATTCTGTTGCTCACAGAATTTCTTTACATCGGGAATGAAAGTCATCAAACCGGGAGAGGGACAGTGTAGAGAACATCCACGCCTTACGTGCGGTCAGCCAGTGGACATTTAGCTTGGTCATGTCCATGCTCTTGTAGGCGTGCGGCTTGCGGGCTGTGTGGATCACCGATAACTTGAGCTTACAGGTACCAGAGGCATTGGTGGTAAACAGGACGGTGATGCGCTCCTTCTGCATCTTCTGGCCCCGAATATTGCTGGCATTCTTCACAACGAAGGTCTTGGAAGGTAGCTTTTTCCAAAAAAGACCAGATTCGTCCATGTTAAACACCTGGTCGTCGGTGTACTGTCCTTCCTCCATAATCTCACTTAAAAACGGAGGAAATTCCCTAGCCGCAGCACGGTCAGCACTAGCTTCTTCACCACCAATGTTTATATTGGTGATCTTGTTCTGCATCTTAAACCTCTGTAACCACCCAGAGGAAGCATTAAAGGGTTTGGGCTCTGTAATTCCCATCTTTCGTGACACTGCAGCATACAGTTCACGTGCGTACTCCTTAACAGAGCGCGTGTCCACCGCCATGTTCCGTCGCGCCTGACGCACCAAGTAGCTCACAAGTAATTTTTCCGTCTTGAGAAGCACCTGGTTGTGGAAATACTTGATCATAGAAGCACCTGTAGACTTTGTGATCTTCATGTGCTCCTTTATCTTGGCTGCATCCTTCTTTATCGTCCGGATCGTAGATTCGTTCGCACCATGTTGGCGCGCCAAATCAACCTGTCTTGTTCCTTTCTCTAACTCTTGGATGATCTTGTACTTCACCTCGTAGCTCAAGGAACGTCGTGTCTTCTTGGGCTTAGGGCGGTGTGGCCTGGAGGGATGAAACTGCCGCGGCTAGGTCAAGAGTCGTCTTTCCTCCCGCCCTCCCTCCCCTGGGTGGACACATCATATTACTTTAAACCAATTACAGCTAGCAGCGGAGGGAGGTAGGGATGCATGGCCAATCACAGTCCGATACTTCATATGACGTCACTGATAACGCAACAGAGACATGCACTGCGCAACCTTACCGCGCGGCTTGCCCAGGCGGAGGCGGGAGCAGGCGGGTGGGGCGAATCTAAAAATAGCGTCGAGTTGGACACTCTCCGAGTAAAGGGGTACACGACCGCGGAATGTGAGCATCCTGGTTTCCGGCAGGGTACCGCGTAAATGTGGAAACGCGGAATGTGGGACCGCGTAAAGTGAGGGTTGACTGTATTGAGTACTGAACATGTTATTAACAGACAAGTCTCGGCTCTTACTTTCATCTTCAAACATCACGTGAATGAACGCATGTGAATATGACCTAATTCTTAATTATAGTTTTTCTTCTAAGGATATTTTTTCTCATTTTCATAGAGCTGGAGAATTGTATGGCAGCTTGTACGGGAAAGGACTCGGCCCTGTTTGTACCATCAGGCACTATGGGAAACCTTATTTGTGGTAATTTATTATTATAGAAAAAGAAATCAGTAGCAAAGACAAATTGCATGCTTTAACCTGCTGTTAGTGCTTGCCTACACAAAATAGATTAGAGATAAAAAAGTATTTAATTTATCAGAAAGTTAATTATATTATGAATACCTGTAGTATGAGTGTTCCATTTGCTTGAGTTAAGTTGTATATCAAGATTAAGGGGGCACTTTATTTTTGTATGGTTTGGAGTTAGACACACACATGGTATGAGGGCTTTTAGTGCAGTAGAGCACACAGGAAGGGAGTGTACTTTTACTGTACTGTACCTATAGATGGGAAGAACACCTTGGGAGGGAGAAGGATTACTGTATATCTGTTGCATAGCAAAGCACACAGGGTGGAGGGCAGCTTGATAGAACGTACAAAACGTATAGAATCTGGATGACTGATGCTCTTTGTAACTGCCAAATAGGAAGTACAGTACTGTACAGTTTGACTATAATTCTTGAACAAAGTTTTGCATAAAAACAGCCACAACCAGAATCCTAAGTAGATCTACAGTTCCTCCTTGAGGCCAGTCTAATGTGGACCTGGAACCTGGCCCAGATTTTTCTACTAATGCTATTGGTTTGCTTAGATTGTGTCAGGGATAGGGTAGCTTTGGTTAGGTTCAAGGTCTGCTTTTTATTGAGCTCCCCTTCTTATGGCTATACACTGTACTTGTTGATGTGACTGAATATTTTTAATTGACTAATTAAAATTTCAATTGTTTTCTACATTCCTATGAAAGGGAAATATAAATAAGCACTCTACTGCATTTTAAAGTAATGAGATTATAGTCAAATAATTTCAATGTAATGTATAGTTTGGCAAGGGGATCAGAGAAGTAGGTTGTATTTACCCAGATAGGGTGCTGCAGGTTGGTGGATATAGTGCTCACCTGTCCTTAAAGTCACTGGTTCAATCCTGGGGCATCTTATTACAGTATACTGTACAAATTGGGGAATTAAAGGTGGTTGAGTGCAGATCTGGCCATGCTGCCACCTTGTATACCTAAGGCATACATTGTGCTGTATCCACACTGTTCCTAATGGGTAGACATGACTGTGGGACCAACTTTCTCTTTCATTTATCCAAATGCTGCAGTATTAGGCCACTGTGAGCATCGAGGATCAGAAGTACTACTGGGTGATCAAGCACACATCTTCCTCTATGAACAGGCTGGTATGGCTCAGGTCAGTTCTTCAGAGTTGGTATAGTCTTAGGTTACAATACATGTGTATGTGACTGTACATGTGCAACTGTTTAATTCAGGATAGACTTAAAGTTTTTTTTAACTTGTATTTTAGCTCTGTGGAAGGGTTACTGTGTGTAGTTGACACATTGCTGGTTGAATTGTGAAGTATGATAAAGGAACATTTATAATAACATTAGCTTAGGGATCGTGTAAGGAATTGTTGTGACAATAATAATTTTGTAATCATGGTTGTTCAGTCCTATGTGAAAAATAGTGATGGTGATGGTATTTAAGGTTGCAGGAGTGTTATTGACTGTACAGTAGATACTGTAGTGTATTTGAGGCAGCACACTGTAGAGAAGTTGTATAATTAGAAAAAGAAGAATTCTTAGGCAATTTTTATGTTAAGTAAGGCAGTGAGAAATAATGAATGACAGTAAGTGAATGAGATTCTGTATTGGTTATGATTTTAGTTACTCTGTGCTGCAGCAGGAAAGGGCCTATAACAGTAAAAAATATCAGAAAATAATGGTGTATTTGTTCTTGAGCTGAAGCCTGTAGTGAAATTTTTCTAAGTTAATACTGGACAAAATGCCACATGATTTTAATCTGCAGTGATTTGTAAATTAATTGCAGATTTTTTTAATTGAAACCTATTGAATGAATTGACTTCATAATTATATTACACACGGATACAAAGAATTTGGTAGTTCTTGGCTGTTGCAGACAAACACGCCATGACTTGATCAACATTCTTGGAAGGATACAGCACTATGTTCTTGTGTTTTTCCAGCTTGGTGGTATACAGCCTCACATCATCCCCACTGAACCAAATGGAACATTTGATGTTAATGAGATATCAGCAAGGTTGCGTGTTGAAGATGTACACTGCCCAAGAACCACACTTATATGTATTGAAAATACTCAAAATGTATGTGGTGGGAAGGTTGTGCCTTGTCACTGGATTGATGAGGTAAATATTGTGATTCCACTTGTTTCATTTAGCTGAAGTTGTGGTGAAATTATTATTATTTTTTATTTATTTTATTTTATTTTATTTATTTATTTATTTTCCTCCTGGGAATAGCCCACCTGGGCACAGGTCATCGACCTACAATGGGGACTAGGGGGCAAAAAAAATAAGAGTAAAAAGAAATTAAGAATAGAAAAGAAGAACATTATATAACTACACCACGAAGATGCTGGAAAACCAGCTTGTTAAAGTGAGACATTGTATGAGTATGGAAAAACAGAAAAAGGCAGAGCATTCCACAGTTTAGCTGTGTGAGGAAAGAAGGATGTACTATAGTGGGTTATTCTAGTGTGACCGACATGCACAGAGAAACAGTGGGCACCGCGGGCAAGACGAGTGTTACAAGCCCACAGCCTTGCCTGCGGTAGTTAGTTAGTAGTTTATTGAAAAAAGTATAAATACATGGTAAATATATACAGTGATCCCTCGGTTAACGAGCGCCTCGGTTAACGAGATTTCGGTTAACGATTCACCTTCCTTAGGATTCTTAACTTCGGTTAACGAGCAATCCCTCGATTAACGAGTTTTTTACGAGCCGACTTCAACGTGTTTTTGCTTGCATTTGGCGGTCCACCAGCTGTAGTATTAGTCCGCCAATACAGTAATCGGTTTTAGGGCTTAAATTCCTTACTATTTTAGTAAATATGAAGAAGTTTATACTATTCAATAATTTTAAAAGTTTTTTACAGGTTGACAATCCCTTATCCGAAATCCTTGGGACCAGAGGCATTTCGGATTTTGGAATTTTTCGGTATTCAGAATGGTTAGGGTTTTTTTTTTTATTAGCCCATCCGGGCACAAGTCACTGACCCACATTGGGACCTGGAGGGGGGCGAAAATATAATAATAATTATAATAATAATGATAATACAGGTAATAATAATAATTCATAGGTCTAGGTCGTGTTTCTCACTTTTTATCTTTTTTCATTCTTGTATTTCTTTATTATTATTATTATTATTATTATTATTTTATTAATACAGTATTATTGTTACCATTATTATTTTATTTTGGTGTATTTTGTAATTAAAATTTTTATTTACTATGAATAATAATAATAATAATTATTATTATTATTATTATTATTATTATTATTATTATTATTATAATTATAATTAGTATTACCATTACATTTTCACCCCCCAGGCCCCGATGTGGGTCAGTGATCTATGCCTGGGTGGGCTAATCCCTTTAAAAAAAAAAAAAAAAAAATATGCTCCACAAAAAACTTTCGGTTTTCAGAGCTTTTTGGTATTCGGAATTTTGGATAAAGGTTTGTCAACCTGTATTAACTTTTTTAGTAATTTCAACAATTATTGAACATAATTGAAGGTAAAGAAACTAGTTTCTGGCGTGCCATCCAGCCTGTTAACACACCAGACAGGCGTTAATCTCTCTCTGTTTTCAGTGGAGGTAACATTTTGCTTGAGACTCTCTTCAACTAAATGGTTTTTTTGTGTGTTTCCAAGCAAATTATTGGTCATTTTGAAATTTATTTTACATATTGAAAATATATAATGCAGTGCAGTGTTGATTTAAAGAAAATAATCTTGAATTACACCAAGAGAACTAAAATTTTATGGGTGAAATGGTGCCATGGGGTGACTTCTCTTCCACCCCAATGCCTTCTCTTCTCCCTTCTCCTCCACCCCCATTCTAATTCCCATCATCATCATCCAGGAGCCTTCTACATACACACCTCAAAGTAAGTGTACTTTTCTACCTTTTTTGTTGAATTTAGGAAATTTTTGGTGAGCTGGAACCAATTACCCAAAAACCCATTGAAACAATGGTTTCGGTTAACGAGCAACCTGCTGGAACAGATTGTGCTCGTTAACCGAGGGACCACTGTACAAAGATTTCAAAATACATTTGTCCAACAAAATATTTTAAATAAAAAATAACATGTAAGGGCAATTTCAAACCTAACTATAGATTCCTATTACCTCATGTACAAAATTACATAATTCAGGCACATATGCATTTTCATTTAAGAGTTCACTAATACTAGAGAAAGTCAGCATGTGATACCTTTCGCGACAATGTGCAGAGAGCGGACCATCAATCAACACATGTCGTTCACTTTGTACATGACTGTCGTCTCACTGACATACTCTCAACTCTGCCGGTGTGCGACTCCACCCGCCTGTCTCTACTGTAAGGTTGTGTGACATTAGTCTCAGCCAGGTGAACGACTCACGCTGAAAATCCGGGATAAATTTCTTACTTAAGTATATCTCATGCACTGTCATAAAAGGGTTCATATCCGATATGTACGCAGCAAATTTTGTAGCACCAGCTGACCTCTCCATTACCAGATTCGCCATTTTATCTAATGGGTTTGTGTTACAGTCTAAGGCAGGGGTCACCAAACTACGGCCTGTGGGCCGGATCCCAAGTCCTTCCCCGGCTCGTGGTAGCTACGCCTATGCTCTGACGTTACCAGAGCTTTCGTTCTGGCTTGCAAGTATTGAACAGAATGATTATGCGGCCCACGCTCGTCATTCTTTCAGTTATCCGGCCCACTGTGAAAAAAGTTTGGTGACCTGACTCTAAGGTAATTGCTCTCGCCATGAATCTGAATCCTAGTGTATTTGCTATCCTACATAAATCATATACCAAATGAAGAGGTTGTTCCATGTTCATTATCTCATGTTTTGATTTCATAAACTTGCATCTTCTGTCTGCGATAATGTCTTGGATTGGGGGAATACCTGACTCGATCATGCACAGATTCATACTCGTGTTTTTCCTCACGCCTAACAAGCACGTCACCAGTTTATTATACACGGGTATATATATGTGTGTGTGTGTGTTATTATTATTATTATTATTTTGTTGATGTGTGTTGAAGCCTGTAATAATAATAATTAGACCACTGTATAGTAACCCCATTAAAGAAAATAGAGTACAGCACTGTACATATTTATGAATAAGATAATATATTTTCTAAAAAATAATGTATGGTATTTTTCATGAAATTTATTATCTTATTTATTATTAAAATATAAACAGTACTGTATTGTCTTTAATGGGGATACTGTACAGTGGTCTAATCAGATTTAATATAGGCCTAATGAGAGCACATGTATTAGATGAGATTTAGTGTAAATGTGCTGGAGGTGGGGGGAGGGACTGGCCGCTGCTGCTTTCACCAGTTTGTTTTCATGTATTCATTATTATAGTCTGGCAAGACTCATATGATCAGCATATTATGGTATAGTTTTCATCATAAATAATATAACATACAGTATTAAATAATTTAAAAAATACGATTCTGTATATACCGTATATACTCGTCTATAACCCCCACTCGTTTATAGGTCGACCCTGATTTTTTGACCAAAAAATCGTTAATTTATGATATTCCTCGTTTATAGGTCGACCCAAGTTTTTGGGGGTAATGGAACAACAAAACCTTCAGTAAAAACCCTCTATGTCCTATAAACTGAGGCTCGCCGTGCCTAAAACACCGAGTGCCGAAGGCAAATTGTTTACCATTTATTATTACGACGCTTTACACTGAAACGCGGGTAGTTTCAACAAAAAAATTTTATATTTCCATTCAAGTATTTATTCAAGTCAATTAGGAGGGAATATTATTGTAATACAGGTTGTACCTCTCTAGTCCGGCATTCTGTGGTCCGGAAACTCCCGTGGTCCGGAACGATTTTAGTTTGTCCAATAGGTAGATAGGCAGC